TCTCTCTCTCTCTCTCTCTCTCTCTCTCTCTCTCTCTCTCTCTCTCTCTCTCTCTCTCTCTCTCTCTGTGTGTGTGTGTGTGTGTGTGTGCCCCCAATGGGCAGCAGCGGCGGGCGCCACGTTGAAACGGCATTTGAAATTGCTTGGGCCTGTGTGAAACCCGCCACCGCAAAAACCTGCAGTGTCTTGTGTCCGGACCTCTAGGCCCTGTCCGGTGGGTTGAAACGACACTGAAATATCACCCCGTTAAACATCCTGGGCCGTCCAGGACCCGATAAACGTCCTGGGCCGCCCCGTTTTTTTTTGTTTTTTTTTTGCCCCAGGGGCCTCCATCCGGACATAAGGACCGGAAACCGGACACGGACTGTCTTGAACCCGGTCCGGACGTCCGGACAGTTATCATGCAAAATGCATGTCTGTTTTTTTTGCACGCCGTGCATATGGACGACAAGAGGAGGTTGGGCAAAAGCTGCAGTAGGGGAAAGAGAAGGTGGAGGTCTCTGCCTAAACCACCATTTCTTTTGACCGTTCCCTTACTGGGCCTGGAAACACCCTGTGCCCCCCCCAAAAAAAACAAAGCGGCGGGGGTCTTCTTTTGGCTAGCGCCGCCAGCCATTTTGTCTTGGCTGGCAAATGTACCCCCCAGTAGTGGTTCCAATCACTACTGCCCACAATGGGCCCAATGCCTAAAAATTATGCAGCTTTGCACCTGTGGCTGGCCGTGGGCTGTCGTCTGTTTTTTCAACTTTTTTGCAAAATGCCGAGTGCGCTGAGTTTTCCGATTTTTTTGTGCTCCGGACGTTTGTCAAAAATGTCTAAAAATGATCACGGACATAAATTGAGTGCTGCAGCCCCTAATAAGGCCGCCTGTAGAGAATGTCGCTGGGTTCTGAAGAGAAGAGGATCGCCCTAAGTGAAGGCCAAGCCAGGGGGTACTGGGCCTGAGACACACGCATATTTTTTGTTGTTCTCTTTTGATTGAACATGTATAGGTTGTGGGGGTGTCAGGCAGGGGGAAGAGTAGATAGTTGAGGCCAAGGGGAGGTTGTCTTCATTTGACCCTCCATTTTGTGTTCTCTATTTTTTTTTTTTACCCTATTCTGCGGATTTGTTTTCGCTCTTTAGTTGTCGCTAATGGTGCCTTCATACTCCAGTATTTGCCGTCCCTTTCGATTGGACATGTGTAGGTTGTGGGGTTGTCGGGCTGAGGGAGGGGAGGCAGGAGCAGTAGCGAGTTCTGGAAAGGGGGGTTGGGGGGGGGGAGAAGTAGGGGGGGTAGTTGGCAGGGGGAGCCCTGACAACATGGACCGTCCTTCAACCTCAGTGAAAAGTTAAAGGCAGGTGGCACTGTTGCTGTGTTCATCCTAGGAAGGCATGAACCTGGCCACTATTGTGTCCACGTCCGTGCTATCCAAGTAGGAACGTGTCGGGAATGGGGCTGGCCCGTAGGCTAAATTTGTGAGGACGCTTGCAATTATTGTAATGTGAATCGTATAATATGAGCTTGAAATTATAATATAAATTTTATTAAATTAACTATGTTGGGCCGTCGGCCGGCCTGGCACTCCTGGGCCAGTCAGGCAGAGGGGGGGTCGCCCGGCAAAACCAGATGGGTCAAAAAAGTGGCAAGGATCCTCCCCCCCCCCCCCCAAAAAAAAGGCTTCAGGCCAAGACTGCGCTTGGCCTAAGCAGTCCGAATCCGGTCTTAACTTCGGTTTTGGTGATGGGTCATCCAGGGGGGGTTGGGGGGTATAAACAGTTACTAAAGGGCTTAAAAAGGTACTTTTGGGCTCATGTTTTCTCCTCTATTTTTATCTTGAAATTAACAAGGTAGTCGGCCGACCTTCCCCCAGCCGGCCCCCCCGGGGACTAACTCAGTAAATTAACATTTAGACTGATTTAGTTATGTCATATCATGATATACTGATTTAGTTATGTCATATCATGATATAAGTTCATATAACTTTAACTAAGTTCATTTACATGTGTGAGTGTTTTCATCAAAAGGTGAACTGGAGTTCACCAGATAACATTACCGTAAAATTCGGCGTAAATCCATGTGAGGCGCTCTTTTGGGCACCCGGTAGAATTGGAATGATACGGAGAAGATTGGCGCGGCCCTTGCGCAAGGATGACACGCGTAAATCGATAAATTCAGAAGAAGAAAAAAAAATCTATACAAGGTAACCGCATTGAAAAGAGATTGGAAGTGTGCAGATGAAGGCGCGTGATGCTCAACCTCGCCGTCAGGACAGCCGTTTGCTCTGTCGAAAGACTTACGGGTATCTAGATTTGAATTTTGGATGTGGTAAATAGTGAGGAATTGCTATGTTATCATTGTGGAATGTGGATGGGTTAATGAACCGTTTACGCGAACTTTACGGCATGTTTAGTGCTTGTTCGCCGAATGAGAGTACAACCTTCGGAGAAATGGAGTTCATCTGCGTTGCATTTTCTCTAAGTGTGGCGGTTCTGTATCTTGTATATCCTCTCCTTGGGCGTATCGACTGCCAAGTTTGCCTTCGACGTTGCACTCGATCCAGCCACAATGGGCAGTCAGTGAACTGCATTCTCTATTGCAGAACACAAGATTGAACTTGGTGTAGATTCATGTAATTTGCTTGGCTTGGCAGCACTTGTAGGTGCATTGTACATCCTCTATTGTATGTGCATTCAATGCACTTGCAAGGGTAGATGCATCATATCGTACATGCAGTCAATGACGTGGGTGCATTGTGCTGGCATGCAATGCAGTTGCAAGGCCAGGTACATCCATCGGATGCATCTGGTAGGGTAGATTCAGTGCACGTGCACTTGTTGAAGTTGCAGTTTTTGAATGGAGTAGGTGCATTGTACAGGCAGTCAATCTATATAGCTTGCAAGGGTGTTGCAAGGGTGTCGCTAACTCTAAGCGATGTGGTGAGTCGTTATTCAATGCGCTTGAAAGGGTAGATGCATCGTACCTGCCTTCAATTTAAGTAGTAGTCGCGGTGTGCTGGTATGGAGTGCAGTTGCAAGGCCAGGTACATGCATCCGATGCATCTGCTAAGGTAGGTTCACTGTGCATGCATTTCTTGAAGTTGGGCATGACTTCCTGATAGGATCATCGAATGGCTGGCAGACGAGTTTCACAGTGACCTGTGGCTGACGTAGAGGCGCGTGATGGACTGAACGTATGCCATTTTTGATGCGTTCTTGCAGATTGCTGATTTCAATTCGAAGCCCGAAACGTTCGTCTTCTTGCTGAGCACGAGAGCTGGTGGACTTGGCATCAATCTGACGGCAGCTGACACAGTCATCATCTATGATAGTGATTGGGTAAGGTGGCCACCAAATTCTGGCTTGTGTGCGTCATTGAATCGACAATCAAAGACATATTCCCACACACACACACACACACATATAGAGTAACAGGGGAGCTAAAAGCAGAAATGAAAGAGTAAGCACAGAAAAAAAAAAAAAAAAAAAAAAAAAAAACAACAACGCCAACGTAAGGAAAGAAAAGAAACAACTGCACAGGAGAAGGCAAAACGTTGAAAACAATGGTCTTATCGTTTTCGTGTGATTTTTGTCGTCTGCTTTTCTTTTTTCCATTTGCCTCTCTCAAGGTGCGCTCCTTAACTCACGACAATGTATAATTTGACAGAATATTGAAGATTGTGAGGTAAAGCTGTTCTATTTTTGGATCTTCTCATCTGGGTGCAAAAGGGGTTGTCGTGGTGACAGTCCACAACACACACACACACACACACACACACACACACACACACACACACACACACGTGTCACTTTACTACCGTTCTTGTCAAGGGTTTGGACCATACTTGCAAGCAGACGGACCGGACGAGCGTCCGGTCCGGTCCGGTTTGCCGCATGCGGCACCCTCCCCCCGGACCGGACGGGGGCGTTTTTTTTGGGGGGGGAGGGGAGGGTGGGGCGTAACTGGTCGTCGGGCGCACATTCGTGCGCCGCACGGGTCCGGTCCGGCGGTCTGCCGCACGTACGGAACCGCCCGGACGGCGTCCGCTTGCAAGTATGGTTTGGACCAGCAGTCTGCTAGGATTGCAGGTTGGTGTGAGTAAAGTCAACCACTTTTCTCTCTCAGGGATGGGTATCGCTAACTCTGGGCGATGTGGTGAGTCCTTATCCATCAGTTAAGACTGTCGGTGTTCAACCTCCTGATGAGTCGGTGAAAGTCTGATGAAACAGTCTCTCTGGCACAGTCATGCTTTTTTCGAGTGTATACACTGTATAGCGAATATGACAACACACGTCGCTTTTTTTTTTGTCTTTCTCCTCCCTCCCCATCCTGATCCCTCCACCCTTTTCCACAGTGCATTTGTAGTCTCTATTCACTCAACCACTCAAGATGTGGTTGGACAACACGTGCACCCTTCTCCCCACCTTCACGCCTCCCCCCGTCTCCTCCCTTGGCCGAGTGTGGTGGGTTGGCAATGCATGCCATTTGGTTGGAGAACACATGCATTTGTAATTTTGTAGTCTCTATCCCCTCAAACACTCAAGATGTGTGGTACCTTGCAGGCTTGTGCGCAGTCTCTTTTTAGACCAGCTCTCCGACAGTCCCTGCGCGGTTCATTTTTCTTGTCTACAATCACCGGGCCAAAATCTGCAGTGCCCAGGCTCGGTACCACAATTCCTTTTCCTCAGGGCGGCACTGTGGATCTTAGGCTCAGGGAAATGCAACTTCTCGTTTGTCCACATAGGCCCCGATGGAGTGGTGGTTCAAGTGAATACGTTTGCAATCAACCCATGATAATACCTTCTCCAAGTCCGTTGGAAAAGGGTTGATGATGGTGCTTCTCTACAGAAGATCGATACATAGTATTACATACATACATCCATTATTATCAGGGGTGAGAATTACAGTATGCTAGGATTGCAGGGTGCATTTGTCCAAAAAAAAATAATAATAAAAAAAAAATGATTGCAGGGTTGGTGGGCGTAAAGTGAACCACGTTTCTCAAGCGTATTGGTAAAGCTTTCAGCGAGGTGGGGAGTGCTTATCCATCAGTCATATGCATCCTACCTTCTTCCCCCGAATACAACGTGCGGTCATTATGGCTGTATCTAGACAGAAAGATGCCTCAAATACAGCTATAGTGACCGTACGTTGTATTCGGGGGAAGAAGGTAGGCAGATCATTGGGTTCCGCCTCCTGATGAGTCGGCAGAAGTCCAATCAAACAGTCCGCCTTAGGTACTCTTCATATGTGGAGTTGTGTTCAGCGAATTCTGAACAAACACACCCACACGTGGGGGTCAAGGTGGGGGACACAGGCCAGGGGGGGGGGAGGGGGAGGGGGAGAGAGGGAGACAGAGAGAGAGGGAGGGAGAACCAAACAGTCCGCCTTAGATGCTCTTCATTTGTGGAGTTGTGTTCAGCGAATTCCGAACAAACACACCCACACGTGGGGGAGGGAGGCAAGGGGGGAGGGGCAAGGGAGGGAGAGAGAGAGAAGGGAGATCTGTATCAGAGGAGGGAGGAGTTGCATACCTGGTTGAGAGAGAGAGAAGGTAGAGGTCCTTGGCAGAAGCGAGATCTGCATGGGAGGTGGGATGAGGGAGAAGGGCGGAGTTTCATACGTGGTAGAGAGAGAGAGAGAGAGAGAGAGAGAGAGAGAGAGAGAGAGAGAGAGAGGGAGAAGGGAGAGGTTGTGAGCTGGAGGGAGATCTGTGTTGCGATTTATTGCATCTGTGTTGGAAGGAGAAAGGGGGGGAAAGGTACACCTGGTTGGTCTTCTTCGTGAAAAGCCCCAGCAATGTAGATAGCTCAAATGAACGTTAGTGGGAGTAGCAGTGTGCTGAAGGGCATTGGACCTCAGACATCCCAAGCAGGTATGTCTGGCGTGTAGACGTTGAAGCAGTGAAACTTTCACACCCAATAACCAGGTGATTACTCAATTCCTCTCCGAGATAGTAGTCACCTATCGCAACGACTCTCCAAATCAACTTAACTTGAGATCAGGATACAATAAATATTTCTGGATATAGACACCTTTCTCCAGTCTCAACCATTCATGACAATGAGCCCTTTTACACCACTTCTTATTTTTCGAAGGTTTCCAATTCCGCTCACTCCTGACTGAATGCCGTAGTATGGTAGCACAGTGTTTTGGTGAATCAAATTTCTTCTTCACAGTCTGTTCAAATGAGACTACGCTGGGTCCTTTTCTCACAGGAAAGAGGTGTTAGACTGTTCGTAACTTAGCAGCAAGTGATAGTGTCATATTTGTCTGAGATTTGACTTTGATGATAAGTACGCTAACCTGTGGATTTTTTTCATTGTACTTAACATCAAAGTCAAATCTCAGACGGTGAGTATTGTTTCTCAGGCAACATGGTCAGGTGCCAGGTCATTCGGGTAACAGAAGGTTGTAGACTTTTTTTTTTTTTTTTTGAAAAGGTTGTACACATTTTTATTTTCCTTCTTTTTGTCAAATAAGGAAGAGGGGGTTGATAACTTGATATATTATCATTGAACTGACAGGTGCCAGGTAATTCAGCATTATTTTATGTGATTGCATCTGATTGGATCTGGATTCTTTGGGTCTGCATTTCAACAGTGCATGGGTACCAACTGAGTCAGGAGTCAGGACTTTGAATTGACTGGACTAATATTTAAGCGAAAGTGTATATCTGCACTTTGTGCCTGATTTCTGATTCAACAGAACCCTCATCAAGACATGCAGGCGATGGATAGGTGCCACAGAATTGGCCAAACAAAACCAGTTCATGTTTATCGACTTGCAACAAGCCAGTCTGTTGAGGTAAGGGGCCATTGAAGGAAATTCCCTTTTGAGCAATCAGAGGAGCGTACAAAATGTTTGTCAGTTTCTTTTCTGTGTGGACGTATGATGTGCCGACCACAAACCCAAGCAGTGACTTGGTGTGTGTGTGTGTGTTTTCACCAGAAGGTGTTCAGATGCATAAATGTGCACACATACTCACTGTTACCTGGGGGGACTGGGGTAGGGATGCAAGGTGGGGGGG